CACAGCAGGAATGTCACAGCAGGAATGTCACAGCAGGGCTGTGCTCACACTCTCTCCTGTTCTCTCACACTCAGCACAGCACACCTTTCCCAACACCTGCTCTGAAGGCACTGCCAGGCTCAGCCTTGCCTGATGGCTGAAAAATAACAAAACATTTGTCTCTTGATGTCAGCAGGCTCTGGCCCACATGCCAAAGCACCCCTGTGCCTTATCATCACAGAGAATCAGAGCCCTGTTTTCGTTCATGATTTGTGATCTTTGATAATCATATCTTTTTCTGCTCAAGAAAACTCAGTCAACTTTTAAAAATCAATTTGTTGTAAATACTGACATAAGGGTTCTGAGGCTGGATCAGAAATGTTTTCAGGATGTAGTTCTGCTCTATAAACAATAATTCCCTTTGAAGTGTAGAAACAAAGTCCATGTTGTTCGTGGGCTGTGTATGCAACAAAACACTGTTATTTTTAAAACCTTGTCATCCTAAGGAAGTTGTACCCCCTTTCATGGTATCTGTAATTGGAGAAAATTGTATGTTACACTGATAATGCAAAAGGCATTGAATTCTGATCTACAAAAATGTTATTCCATCGTGAAAGAATTGTAATTTACAAACAAACGTATGTTAAAAAATAATTTTACTCCTATTTACTGTAAACATTGCTCTCTGCAGTATCTACAGACTGCACACCTGGGTGGAAGGGATAGAGTTTCTTCAGACATGTGTGGAGGAAAATAGGGAGAACAGGAAATAATTAAAAATCCATCAAACGAATCCAGTGTATTTTACACCTGCATCTTTCTGCGGATTCCCATCTTACAGAACATCTTGACTGCAGCTAACAGGATGTCACCACCTGTCTGTCCACCACTTCTTGTGAGATTGAGATCGGCTAAAGGCTTTACTGCTCCAGGACTGAGTGAAGCGCTCCTGGCCCACGGGAGGAGAGCGATGGGATGGGAATCCCGGGAGCTGTCCCTGCTTTTCCCTGGCAGCTTTACCTGTGTCGTGCTGCGAGCTGGCGAGCAGGGTGCGGTAGCGCTGCAGCCGGAACCGCGCCAGCCGCAGCTCGTCCAAACCGCGCACGGAGCTGCTGCCCCCGAGCCACGAGAAGGTGACATCGCTCTCGTCATAGCCCCCTGAGAGAACAACACAGAGAAACGCTGAGAAACATCACAGAGAAACACGGACAAACGCTGAGAAACATCACAGAGAAACATCACAGAGAAGCACGGACAAACACGGAGAAACATCACAGAGAAACATCACAGAGAAACACGGACAAACACGGAGAAACATCACAGAGAAACACGGACAAACACGAACAAACACTGAGAAACATCACAGAGAAACACGGAGAAACACGGAGAAACATCACAGACAAACAGGGAGAAACACGGAGAAACATCACAGAGAAACACGGACAAACACGGAGAAACATCACAGAGAAACATCACAGAGAAACACGGACAAACACGGAGAAACATCACAGAAACACGGACTGTGAGAGCACTGTGGCTAATGATAGCCCTGTTGGGCCAGTGAGAGCCCTGCTGTGACCAGTGAGAGCCCTCCTCTGCCCTGCTGTGGTTAAAAAAAGAGAATTCAGGTGCCCCCGAGCCCCCCAGCACGGAGCACATTTCACTGAGCCATCTGTCCAAGTGCTGCAGAAGATGAGAAAAGGCGTTTGCAGCCAGGCAGGAGCTCACAGCTGAGCTGCTGTGTAGTTATGAACCAGGCTCCTCTGACTTTCCACTGTCCAGAAAAGCTGCTCATAAAAACAGCCTTTCCTGCACACCATTCCTCCCATCCTCAAAGGCATTAAGTTCCTGAGGACAAATGAATTCACACAACGTTTAGGTAACAGCAAATTCCTGCCCCAGCAGGACTCCACCCGTGCCATCTGAGTCCCTGCTCCAGGGATGTAAGGGATGACATGACCTGGGCTTACTCTGAGGGATACCTCAAGCTGAGGGATAAATCCTGTACTAAGTTGCCAGCCTGCCAATCTCTTCAAAAATTTGACTTAATTTAGGAAACAAGTCCATCAGTTTCACTGATTTAATTCTTTTATTAAGAGCCCTTCTTTGAGACCACGAGTAGGGACGCTGTGATTCTGGTAATAACCCATTTGTCCCAGTAGAAGGAATCAGATGCAGTTGCAGCTCTATTTACATCTAATTGTGTTTTCTTATTAGACACAAATTACCAGAGCTTGGGCGTGATGAACTCCTAAATTAGGTGTCCAGAGCATGAATCCCTGAGTAGAATCCTAAGCATGTGACTTTTCAAAGTTCCTAAGTGGTTTTATAAATCGTGGTTACTCAGGAAAATTTTATAATAAGTGATAGATTGTTGTTAATTCATCTGGCGTATATTTAAATAGCATTATTTCTGGGCACTTATCCTAATGAAATCTCCAGTGGGCAATATGTATGTAATTTCATTGGAATTATACAGCAACTGAGCATGATGTAGGACCCAATCAGTTTTAAACCAGGCCTAAACATGCTCTGCTTTAGCAGAAGAGGCCAATCATTATTATTTCAGGAGCTATTCTTTGTAATAAAGTTAAGCATGGTGAACTAATATGATTTTAATGTGAAAATAATATGTGCTTCCCTAGGTGCTTCATGCTGCAGCCCCAGAAGTTAAAGCTCTGGTCCTCTCCGTGCTGAGCTGGTGGAGGTTTGGTTTTGTGGCACAGCTCATGCCAGGTGCAGGGCAGGCTGAGCTTTGGGCTCACAGCCCTGCAGTGACCCACACTGCCTGCAGGCTCCTCAGCCATGGCCACAGGGGAGCTTTCAGCCCAGCTGAGAGCAGAACTCTGACAATTCTCTTCCTGAGACTCTTCTGAGGACGAGGGTCCCACCCTCTGCATCCCCTCCCTAGGGGGGCAGGCACCACAAACCTGCCTTTGGCCCTAATTTGAGCTCATGAGTCTGAGAGCTCAACTCTGATTCTGTGAGAACCACCCTTCCTTCCCCAGGTCCTTTTACAGTGGGCACTTGGGGGTGCAATGGCTAGTAGCTACCTAGAGATGTGAGAACTGCTCTTTGTGCTACTCTATCACATGCACTTACCTCACAAGTTAGTTTTGAAGAAGCTGTGTGTTCAAAAGGATCTAAATTTTGAAAACCAGCCAATATTAGTTCACCCTTCCTGTGCAAGATAGCTATACTTCAAGAAAATATTCTTTATTATCACTTTTTTGCATAAACTGCACAGGGACGGGAATTCTCTGGACTGTGGATTACAACATGAACATTTGAAGAATGATGATGCAGAAGTTATTTTCTTTTGGACACTAGAATTTGCAGGAATAAAAATCTACTCCAGAAAGCCACTGTGCTTAATCCAAATATTCAAGATATATGTATTTATGAATAAATAAATTTAGAGTTTTCTAGAATGTTATACTTACAGCTTTCTAGCTGCAGTCGGCATGTTTGTGTGTCCATAGGGTATTTTGACAGGTCCATGTTACAGGCAACAGTAGTAGTGATTCTGTGGGAAGAGAAAGAACTCTGAAAATTGAAATAAAATCATAAAATCCCACAGCAAACTGGATCACAAAGCTCTGCTCTGCCACCTCGATTATTTGGACCGATGATATGAATTAACTGAGAAGCCTCAAGAACAAGCACTCTCTGCAGCCACCCCAGTGAAAATGTATCCCAATTTTGCTTTGATCTGCTGGGATAGAGAGTGTAGATTCACTTTTTTTTTTCCCCCATTGCTACAATTTGCTCTTCTTAAGGAGCCACCACTTGTGACACGAGGCACAGTGCCTAACTGCACACGTCCTCTGGCTTGCTCTGACAGGTGAGTTTTATTCTGCAGCTCAGGTAACTGGGTAAGGAGCACTGCAGGAATTGCTAACTCAAGTGCTGCGAACCTTCCTGCACTTCATGGACAAACACATTTCTTGGTAAAAAACAGAAGTCGTCACTGCATGGCACTGGATAAGCAAACGGTTCCTCACTATCAGTTAAACTTTTTCTGTTGTTATGTCCTCCCTCCTTTCCTCCCCTGCCCCCATCGGACTGGATTTTCCTCAGTGACACCCGAACTTTCTGAGCAGCCCCAGGACACAGCACGTCTGTGATGGGAGATCCTGATCCCTGACTGGCATTTGCAGAGGCCAGGACAGGGGGAAATGCATCAGCAGAGCGTGGTCACAGCTGGCTTGGTGACCCAAACTCATGGCCTGTGACAGCTGGTCCCTGCTCCCGAGCAGGGAATTCTGGAGCTCCGTCCTGAGCCAGCAGTTCCGTACCTCGAGGCATAGAGGACAGTGCCGTTGGAGAAGAGCCTGAGCAGGCGGCTGCCCACGGGGACGTGGTGCAGGAAGGAGCTCTTGGAGCCCACGATGTAAGTGTCTGGCAGCCAGAGCAGCTCCAGCAGCCGAGCATCCAGCGTGAAGCTCCTGTTGCCGTGGAACGCCAGGCGAGGGTCGGTCCAGCGCTGCCGCAGGGACAGGGTGGCTGTGAAATCCTGGGGACAGGGCACAGCCGGGCTGGGTGTCCAGGCACCTGCAGGGCACGGCTGGGGCACCCACGTGTGTGACAGGGGACAGAACACATCCTTGTCCAACCCACCACAGCCAGGCTTCAAGCTTCACCTCCATCACTGCTTTATTCACTCTGCAATAGTCCTAATGCACCTCCACTCTGAGGTGTGGAGTTTGAGGACTAAAGATTATACTTACAGCTCTTCATGTTTTTAATGAGCAGTTATCGTGACTGATGTTTTTGTGCCCATTTTGCAGGTAAGAGAACAGATGGGAAGCACACACTTCAGTTATTGCCTAGAGCTGGGAAATTCCACAATACTATAAATTTGATTATCAAAGAGGCATTGGCACTTTGGAGAGAAAAAGCAAGTGAATCCAACCTGTTATGTCAGGGATGTCTTTAGAAACCCCAAACAAGTAAAAAAAGAAAACTTGTGCCTTCAATTTTAATAGGAATTTTGAATCTAAGAACACTGGGATTAACTTGAGTTTGGCCTGCCAAAATCAGCTGGAGCATTCTCATAATGCCCCAGCAGAAGAGAATAAGCAGCACCCACTGAGCTCTGAAGCTGGTGCTGAGCCTGCTGGACACCTCAGGCACTGCTGGACTAAGCAATTTCCTTCCTCACAAGGGATGCCTCACAGGATTGATTTTTTTCTATTTCCACAGGGTCTGATTTCCAGAAGCTGCTGCGTTTTTGACAAGAAAGACTTTTGGGACCACTTCTGTTTACTTGTGAGCCCACATTATGATGGCATCTACACAGTCTGCAGTCATAAACGAGCTCTGTTTTCATCCCACTGCTGGAAGTGGCCAACAGCCCCCCAAACAGCAAAGCAGTTTCAAAATGACCATTTTTGTGCTGGACACAGGAATGCATGTGAAGTCTCTCAGGCACATCCCAACCTTATCTTGTAAAATAAAAATCCTTTCACTTACCATGTCACTCTCAGATACACTAGAAATACTTGCAATGTCCAGACTCATTGTGATTTGTACAGGTTCTCCTGCAGAGGGGAAGAAATGTTTCAGCAGAGAGAAGGAAGTGGGAGGGCACAGTAAAGGCACTCGGGATGCTGTGCAGGGTGGGCACAGCCTCAGCCTCACTCGCTGTCACTGAAATGCAGAGGCCCAGAGGGTCAGACACAGTTTGAGAGCATCACAAATGACAAGACCCAGGCGTCACTGTTAGGGAGCTGGAGGTCAGTGTTTGGTGATGGGAGCAGGGGTAAATACCCAACAGCCCCGGCTGCAAAGCTCAGCAGTTGAGATCAGCAGCGTTCCAGTGGCATTTGCCATTGGACAGGCCAGGGCCACTTTGTCCCTTGATCCCAGCCCACAGCAGGCACAGGGAACTTCTCCCAGCTCAGGGAGCGCGGGGCAGCCCCGGCTCCTGGCAGAGGAGAGAAGGGCCCTGATTCCCGGGAAAGGCACTCCTGGAATGAGGAGCAGCAGTGCCTCTGCCTCTGCTCCTGTCCCTGTCTCCCTGTCCCTGTCCTGTCCCTGTGTCCCTGTCCCCATCCCTGTTCCCCATCCCTGTCCCTGTCTCCCTGTTCCCCATCCCTGTTCCCCATCCCTGTTCCCGCTCCAGCTCCAGCCGGGAGGGACCCGCGGAGCGACAGCGCCGGGAGCCACCGCGAGAGGGCAGCACTGCCCGGACAGTGACAGGGATGGGGACAGGGAACAGGGACAGGACAGGGGGAGAGACAGGGACAGGGAACAGGGACAGGGAACAGGGACAGGGAACAGGGACAGAGAGACAGGGACAGAGAGACAGGGACAGGGAACAGGGACAGGGAACAGGGACAGGGAGACAGGGACAGGACAGGGGGAGAGACAGAGGGACAGGGAACAGGGACAGGGAACAGAGACAGGGAGACAGGGACAGGACAGGGGGAGAGACAGGGACAGAGAGACAGGGACAGAGAGACAGGGACAGGACAGGGGGAGAGACAGAGGGACAGGGAACACGGAGACAGGGACAGGGAGACACGGGCAGGGACAGGAAGAGTGACAGGGGCACAGGGGCAGGGACCATTCGAGGCATAACAAGACGGTAAATTCTGTATTGCCTCAGACATTTATTACCGTGGCCAGAAAAAGGAAGCAGCTCAGGGCTGCCAGTAGCAGCAGGTCAGTCTGCAATGGGAAATATCCACGGCCTTGTGAAAGCTGATGGGAACTTTGTCTGTCAAGCAGGGTTTCATTAATGGTTCAGGCACAGACCCAAAACGAATGGAAATAAAAATGGTCACTGCTGTTTCTTAAAATTTCAGTGCTACTTTTCAAGTTCTGAATGTCACTCTGAGAAACCCTTTCCTCTGTGTGAAGACAGCACTCACCTGGAAGCTGGGACACCTGACACCCAAATTGCTCAATAGCCTCAGAAAAGTTCCTAAATTCCTGCCAGCTCCCGACTCCCCAGAGTCTCACCAGGGTTTGAAACAGGTTTGTGTCTCAGTGTGAGGTGAAAGCATGTGTGAAAAGTCAACATTCCTGGCAAGAAGAATGGCTTTGTTCCTCTGTAGCTGTATAAATAGCTGTAATAGCTGTACATGACCAAAACTAAAGCAGAAAATCACAAGGGTCAGGCTCTAAACAAAAGCTTGTACAATTAGAGCAGAATTTAGTTATTTAGTCAGGTCTTTCATAGGGATGTTAAAGTTTTTTTAATTCCTGCTCTTCACCTCACAGCTGGACATGTCCCCAAGCCCCACACATTCGTGCACCAGCTATTCAAGACAAGAGTGGATGCACGGAAAGGAGGGCAGCCTGGGACACCAGCTAATGTAAAAGAAACACAACTTTGGAACTGCAGCATCCTAAAGCCAGCTCAAAGCCTGCTCTCCCCCCCGGAGCCTTGCAGACTGATTTTAGATGCTCCCTAGTGTGGGGCCAACATACCACCGAAGTTGGGCCGGAGGTATTTGTTGTAGCCCAGGGTGAGGTTCTCAAATCCAGGGAGGGACGTGCCCCTGTCCTGCAGGCTGGATCCGTGGCCCAGAGAGCTCCTGGGGACACAAACACCAACTCTTACATGCTGGGCTGGGCACATCTGGTCTGCAGCTGCTTCCAGCTTGTGCTCAAACAAACAAACAAACCAACAAACCATATAAAATAGTTATTTAAACCAAATAGATAATTGAAATCACAAGCATTTGCTCACATTTGCTCACATTGCTGTCTTGGCTGAATAATTAGCACCTTCAAGAGGTGCAAATGGCAAATTGCCTCAGCTGATAGCTACAGGTTAGACACACAGTGTCTTAAGAATGTTCTTAAAATGTCACAGAAAAAACAAGCAAGGTCTGTAGAATGCAAGCCTGAAAAATAAACCCCAATATTCCCTTCCCACTCCTTCTTGTACAGCCTGTATCAGGAATTTCCTTTTTTCCTCCCATTTATGACAACTTGAGAGAAACCTTACAGCCCAACAGCTCCTCCCCTCCAATCTCTAGTCCCCTAAATAAGCTTCTGTTTCCTTCCCAGCTGGGTTAATAGGGCCTTGGAGCTGCAGGATTTACACTAAACAGGACCTTACAGCAGGACCTGCTTTTGCACAGTATATATGTAAATACTTCAACAAATTTGGGACTTTTAGGTCCAAGGATAGTAATAACAGAGCTGGGAGCCTTGTGGGAGACATTTCTGGTAAAAAACTACAAGCTGTGCTGGTTCTGGACAGGAAATCAGGGGTTGCACTGTTAATGGACATACTGTGGTTTAGGGACCTATGCAGATTGCTCTCCCCTTTACCACATCCCTGACTGCACCCTGCCTCCTTTGGATGGCCTGGGTAATTGGAAGCGTGGTTTCCTTTTGACCCATATTATTTATGTGAAACATTATTCAAACGTTCCCTTTAAAACAAAACAAACCCTCCACTTACCTTTGGGTTGGAAGGAAAAGACACAGACCAAAGAAGGAAAAACATCTGCAGAACATGTCTGGAGATTGTTCCTGTATTTGTTCTGCTTGTCTGCAAAGGAGAAAAGAAAGACAAAGTTCTGTGCTTTAAGGAAACTTCTTTCAAGGGAAGGAGGCAGGGAAAAGAGATGCTGCAGAGTCAGAACCATCCCAGAGTGATGTTTCACATACCCAGTATGCAGTGGCTCCTGCCCTTTTTCCTGGCTAGTATCATTTGTCAGCGTGTTCCACCACTTACCACATAAACGACCCTGGGGACAACTCAGGTCTTGAAGTCCTCGACAAATTGTAGCTCCTCTTCTACCAGGGATGGCAGTTAGCTGATGCTGAGAATGGCACCACGGGAAGGGACTGATTAAATAACACAAGGTGTGGGGAGCTCCCAGAGCAGCCACACTCAGAGATGCTGCCCACAGACAGCAGATCACAGCTTCAGCCTCTGTCAGCCCCAGGCTCCCTGCCCAGCTCACAGGAGGACTCTGTGCTCCACTGCCTGTACCTGGGATAAACCCATGCATGCAGCATGAGGTCACTGCACTTCAAAGGGGTTTCGCTGACTTTTCTGGGAGTGGAACCAAGTTTGGCTGCTGGCCCAGGACTCCTTGGGCTCGTGCTGGCCTTGGAGCAGGTGCCACAGCTCTGAGCTGTGCTCTGCTCCACTCTGATCTCCAGCTCCCTGCTGGAAGTGCTGCCCCAGCCACACACCTTTTGAGACCCAGCACCTCTCCAATCACACACGGCATTCAGGGCCTCGGCTTCCAGTGTGGCTGCACCATAATAACCCAAACTTCACAGGTTTTCTGCTTGGCTTGGATCCCCACAGCCCAGAGGACTCTCCCTCCTCAGCCAGAGGCACAGCTCTGCTGCTGTGCCATGGGACAAGCAGAGCACCAGGAAATAACAACTTTTCCCACACAGAGCCAGCTCAACACCTGAACATTCAAGTGTGAATGCAGGGCATCCCACTGGAGAAAGGGTGGTTTTTTCCAAAACACAATATGCTCTAATACCAGTCTGAGTTTCCAACAAGGCTCTGCTCTTCTGCCCTTCTCTGCCGGGCTCTGGGTCTTGCCTGGGGCAGGCACAGCTCTGCCAAGGACCAGCTTTATTTAAGCTGATCCTTCACACAAGTGACCATCAATAACTGCTAACCTACTTCCTAAAAGACACAGATCAATTGACAGAGTATTATAATCGCTTTAAATATTAATGCCCTATCAGGAAGACAATTGCACTGGGCCTAGGGACTCCTCCACTATTAGAAATTATGCCCCAGCCTTAAATAAATTAACTCAATAAGTGTCTTACCATGAATACAAATTCCTGCTTAGGGCTTGCAAATAAAATGATTTAGAGCTTTTCTTTGAGGAAAGATGAGGTGTTTAAACTTGCAAAAGAGCAAGGGCTGCCATATTCATTAGGCTTTTGTTTTAAATGGACTGCTTTGTTTTAAACTCAGGACACAACCCAGGATTAGAAAAGAGCCACGCTGATTCCACTTGACTGAAACAGAAAGGTTTGTAGGAGAGACCATAGAGTCAGCTTACTTCTTTTGCCCTAGAGAGAGGAAGATTCCATCGAAAGCCACACACAGAGACCCTTGAAGAGAGAATTTTACAGGAGCTCGCCTCAGCAGCCTCCTCCTCCTCCTCCTCATCCCTGCCTTCTCTGCTGCCCTGGCTTTGCACAGGTGCCTGTTGCATGCCCAAGGGATGTATCAGCTGTGACACAACATTGTGCTGACACTTACCTTTGTGTATTTACACTGCTAGATATTTTCGATTTATATCGATTTATAAGTAAATCTATAAGATAATTAGAACGCAAAGGTTGGATCAGTTTCTGTGAAAATGTCAACAAATTCAATTTAACCCTGGGATTGTAAAATCAATCTTGGATTTTTTTAAAAAAATCAACATTTTTCAATAACGTATTATTCTTCTAGAAAACTCTGGATCAGCACTAACTTTTGACAGACATTTTAACAAGAACGTGACTGGACATTACCAGCAGTGGGCCCTTCCCCTGCATCCTTCACACCACCAGTGCATTCACTCCCTGGTTCTGTGCAATGCAGGAGCAAGCACAGCCGTGAAGCACTGGGCAGGGCAGCCCTGGTGTGCTCCATCAGGCAGGGGAGCTGGGCTGGCTTTGGGCATGTGCTGGGGAAAGCTGGGCTGCAGGGAAGGGAGCTCACAGTGCCAGCAGTGCTCAGAACAGGCTCACTCTCGTGCTTTGTTCCCGGGGTGAGGGCAGGGACCATCTCCTGCAGCCACCCTCGGAGCACAGCACGTTCCTGCCAGGGAAACTCTGCCCTGCTGCTGCTCCCTCCTCCATTCCATGGCTGCTGGCTGTGGGTGCAAATCCCAACAAGTGACTCTGGAAGAGTCCCAGGCTGTAAAGCAAACCCCTCTCCCCCTCTCCCCACCACCAGGAGCCCTGTGCAGCCCTTGCAGAACCCTTTGTCCTGAACAGGGGGTGTGGAGCAGCCCCAGTCCCCAGGCTCCTCACAGGCTGCTGTGCACAGGGACAGGTGAGTCCCCAGGAGAACGTCCCAGGCAATTCCCAGACAACTCACCTGTGCTCAGGACACACTGTCCTGGCCTCCAGCCAGAGCCCCACAGCGATTCCCAGTCTCTACAAGAACAGATGGAGAAAGACAGACCTTTCCTCTGCAAGACAACAGGGGAAATTTAAACAGGACAGGCTGGAAATAACCACAGCGAGGCTCTGGAGGTCTTCAGTTCATTATTTCCCACCTCCTGGAGGGCGATGGGCACAGGGGTCCTGTCCTGGCCAGGCAGCAGGGCTGGGTCCATCACCAGCTCTCCAGCACACAGAATTCCTGCCCCTGCAGCTCCCACACAGTGCAGACCTGATGTGATGAATGCACTTCAATGTGTCCTCCTCCCCTTGCAGTTTGCTGCACCTGCACGGTTAAACAGAGGTTATGGAATTAATCTCTCAGTAAAAAGAAATGCTACTATTGGATTCACAAGTACCCTTTCATGTGCTGAGCTGTGGCACACGCCTGAGGGTCCCCCTGAGCTCCAGGGAGAGCCAGCCCTCCCCAGTGCCCTCCCTCCACCTGCTGCAATGCCCCGGAGCCCTGAAGCAGCAGCACAGGACGCTCAGACTGCAGCAGGGCTCTGAATAAAACCAGAGCTCTCCAATATCTCACAGCAGTAACTCGGGCTTCAGCAGCCACTCGGACAAACCTCAGCCCAAAATCCAACCAAAAGCTACGCACGTGCTTTGAGGCCGGGCCTGGGGACACATCCCGGGGAGCCAGAGGGGTTGGAGGCAGCCAGCAGCCCTGCCCCTGGCACAGGAGCAGCAATTCCAGCCCGCCTCTGTCCACAGGGCTCTGCTGCCTCTGGGAGCCTGCGGGAGCCGGTGCTGGGAAGGCACTGCAGTGACACCAGGACCACGTTTCACACAGACACCTTTATTTTCATATTTCTGCATGGATGAATGTTCTTTTTCCTGGGATGTACTGGTAGACAGATAATACCCTACAAAATGGAGTTTAGCAAACATATATATATATGTACACACATATATATAGTCTGGCAAAATCGCTTCTGCATTCCTCCATGTGCCAGAATCGATGCTTACAATCAACCAAAGCCAAAGGGACACTGTGAGGTCTTGGGTTATTTTTCTTATCTACAACATAAAATAGTGTTTGCATTTCTTTTCAATGCGATTGTCTGCTCTCCTGCTTATACTTAAGCAGAACTGTGGAAGGGAAGAGACATGCCTGAAACTTTCAGTTTCCAGTACCCCGAGTTACTGTCAGTGGTGCAGGTAGAAAAACATTTCTGAACTTTACACAGGAGCCAAACGATCAGTTCGGTGTATGCCACCACATCCAATGTCAGAGCACCCCTGGGTCAGTGATACAATGAATGATGTAAGTGTTAGCTCACAGCACGGCTCATTTTCACAGCCCCCACGCACACGGATATGTTTGAGTCCCACTTTTAAAAGTTTCATTGCAAATTTTTAACCTTACAGTGTCCCTTGAGAAAAAATACATACTGAGTTTAAGAAAGGACACCCTCCTACAGGTATTTTTTTTTATTATTAAAACCAACGTTTTTAAAACCATTCAATAAAATTGAATACAAATTTCCGTTGGAGAATAGCATTTGTAACAGTGAAGCTATACATGGCTGATCCATTAACATGGCTTTAGTTATCACAATTTACATTATTTGCATTTTCCCCTAGGTCTTTCATGGCACTTCCAGAAAGAAGAAAAGTTTGACACACTGCTGCTACCATCTCATCTGAGGTGACCCACAGACACAAGAGTGTTTGCTCTCAACACATACTGCAGTCAGGAAATGGCACTGCCCATGACGCCTGAACCTCAGGGTATTTGTGTCTCAAGCTTTTAGCTTGGCTCATGGTTATTCATAATATTGCATTGCATTCAGAGGAACAGGAAAACAAACAGCCACAGAACAGGCACAGGGGGTTTTTTTTTAGTTTTCTTTTTGTTTTTCAATATCCTTTATCACATTCCTATTTGTCAACAGATTGTTACCTAAAATGCATGTTAGAAAGGCTTTCTTTATAAAATGCTGGCATGAAGATGCAGACTAATGTTTGTAGCTAGTGAAACAGTCAGAGTCCTGATTCAGACATTATTTAAACATTCATAACTTGGAGAAAATGTGCACAGTTGATAGCACTGACAGAGAATCTGACTGTAACAGGAACTGCCTTCTGCCTCTGGCAGGAGGATTGATGAGGGTGGCAGAGTAGCAGAGTGTGTTTTATTTAGAAATCTGTACTAGTGCTTGTCATAAATATTGCAAGCCCCGTTTACGAGCACACGGAGGCTTGGCAAGTTTACAGTCGAGTAACATTCACAGAAAACATGAAAAACAAACCCAAAGCCATTTGCATGCAGAGAGCAGCTCTCTCCCAGGCACTGATGTCTCACCTGCTGGCTGAGCACACCTGCCCTGGACAGGTGCGGCTGCTGGAAAACCCAGAGGCCTCCCATGCACTGGTGCATCCCAGCTGGAACAGGGGAGCAGGGGAAGAATTGGCTTTGCCAAGGCAAGGACTCTGCCCCAGGCACGTTCTGCAGCCTGAGCTCGGGGAAACGCAGCTCTGGGTGACACTGGGCGAGTCCTCCTGTCTCAGCTGCTCGGGCTGGGTGGAGCACAGAGCCCAAGCCAGGCTGAGCACCAGGGCAGTGTGGGAGGGCTCTGACTGGGGGAATCAAATCAAATCAAATCAAATCAAATCAAATCAAATCAAATCAAATCAAATCAAAGCTCGTTATCCTCTAAGGGCAGACGGGGTGTGGCTGTCAGCATCTCCTCCACCTGAGGCAGCCGCAGGGCTCCTGGCAGCGCAGAGCAGGCACAGTGGAGCAGCAGAGGAGGTGGCAGCAGTGCAGGGTCGGTACTTGCTCCCTGATTTCAGCACTGCACGTCAGCATGCACTGGCAGTGACACCAGCTGTGCGCTGCTCAGCTGCAGCCAGGAGAAAGCAGTGACAGCCCTGGTGACAGAACTGCTGCCAGCGGGGCCGGGAAACACAGCTGAGGCCAAATTCATCACAGCAACTCCAGAAATTAACTTAGCTTCAGGGACTATGGCATCATGCAACTAATAACGCTTTCTTTTGAAAAGGGCACATTCCAAACATTCCTGTCTGTATGTGCCATCTCATAAGCACCCTTGAAGCAAGGCTATTAGAGGAAAAAGGCACTGTGCTTGCCTGATTCAAATGCTTAATTTCCATTGTGCTGGCCGCTCCTGCCTCTGCTGAAGTGAGTGCTTAGAATAACAGACTAAGCAGTTTTGGTGGGAGGGAAAACCTGGTAATTATATTAAATTCTGTCATTTGCTGAAGTGATTGCAAGAAGAATCAAGAAGGAATGGTGTAAACTGCGTATTATTCCAGCTACAACTGACGTCTTTCTGACAAGGAGACAACTTAAAGAAACAAAGCTGAGACTACACTGCAGTGTACGGAGGAGCACAGTGAAAGGGGGAAATGCCCCATCTTGGGGAATTGGCATTACCATTATACAGACCTACTTCTGTAATCAGAAATGCTTCAATAGATTACATTTTTATAAAATTAGGGCTACAGAACTGAGGCATTTTATGTATTCTGTATTATAAAAACCTTCCACTTACATAACTTTTGAAATATATCTTCAGTACTAACAGTTTGTCTGTAACCTAGTATGTGATACAATAAAAATAAATGCTTACTGGGTGGGAGTGATGCAGCACTATGGCAGGGACTGTCCCATCTGCATGGTTTGAGCAGCTGCAAAAGTTGGCTGTTCCCTCCTTCCCTTTGTTTCTCAGCCATTGTCTGCCTGCAGGTGGCAATGGCAATGGTGGGACAGCTTTCCTAAGAGGCTTCTTCACAGAAAGCTCTGATGTTCCCCAGCTGACCTTGGTGTCCATCCAATCTTGGTGTAAATTCACTACATGGCCTTTTCTGTTTTATTAATTAAAAATCCAACCCCCTAAACCAATATTCTACTTAGCATTAGCAAAGAAATGGGGCTTGTACAAGGCATGCTACTGCCATGTGTGAAAAAAACACAGGCCTGGCAGCTGATTCTGAGACTAATAACAATTCAAGAGCTCTCAATCAAATGTGCTGGGCACTTTGTGGGTGCCAAGGTCTGTATGCTGGAACACAGATGCATCTTTGTCATTCATGGAGTCAAACAAGAAAGCTTAAATGAATCCATAAAGGGGCAAGACTGTAACATCCAGTGATGAACCTAGCAAGTGTGTGCCAAACTACAGCAAAAGGACCCCAGCACGTGGTCATGGTGCTGTTGAGATGCACGTGGAGCATCACCTGCTGTCCCTGGGACTCAGCAGGTGGCTGGGACCAGAGCAGGTGCTCACCTTTCTGTAGCAGCCCTTACACACCTGCTGGTCTCTTGGGAACTTCCCATTCCTGAACAGGATTTGTTCTGTACTTTTATATCAGTATGTGCAACACGTTCTGCTCCTTTCTGGCTCACCCTGGCATGAAGATCACCTGGTTCACACGTTCAGGAAGAACTCCACTGAGCTCAGCGTGGTGGCACCAGTGCATGTGAGAGCACAGCAGGATCTCTGCAGAAATGCTGGCTACATGGGCTGTCTGTTTAATGTCCCAGGTACCCTGACTTCCACTTTTTCCACAGACTGCCCTGGTAGACTGGGGTTTTGTCAAAGCAGATTAATGGCAAGGCATCCACAGAACATTGTGCTGAACAGAGGTATGGACTGAGATGTCACTTGCAATAGATGGCCAATAGCTATCAACATGTGCTACCATAGGGAATTAAGCTTGCTAGATTAAAAGCAGGACTTGTGCCTAGCAAACAATGCTCTGTATTACTCATTGAACTTCGAGCAGCAGTTCTCTCTTGTTGGGATTTATTAAAATATTCACATGCTTCCAAAATGAAACAAAGGTCCACCAGCATCTTCTGGGGAGAAGAGGTGGGATCGGTTGCATTCAGTTGCCATTTGATTGGACATGTCAAACAAAACCCTCACACGCTGGACATGGCTCAATTGGAAAATCTTTCACCCAGAAAGGAGATCTTGGTCACACAGAAGTCTCAGACTCCTCCAGTGCTCATCTGCTTACATGACATTCTCAAAGAGCTGTAAGGATCGCATGATATTGTCGTCCTGAAAGCAAGGAGAGGATATTGCCATGAAAGCAGCACAGACAGGCACAATCCATCACTCTGCCCTGGTTCCAGGGAGCTGTGCAGCTCCTGCAGGCAGCAGCCTTGCTCTGGGAATGCTGTCCCCTCTGGGAGCTGGGGCTGCTTCAGGGCCCAGATCCAGCACAGCAGCTGGGCAGTGCTGCAGCCCTGGGCTGCTTTGGGCACTCCCAGCACAGCATTTTCTCCTGAGCCTGACATCCAGCACAGGCTGTGCCAGGCAGGGCACGGGGCTGGAGCCTTGCTCAACCCTCACACCCTGACCCTGGCTGTGCCCTGGGCTAATGTGCTCCACAAGCCCAAATGGAATGGCAGGTTTTGAACCAACAAGCAAACTGCCTTGAGGGAGCATTTCCTGCCAGAAATTCCAGCTCAAACACAGAACACATGCAATCTGTGCAACCTCGGCCTCTCCGAGGCTCCCAGGGCCAAATGAGAAAGTTACAGACAGACACGAGGGAAATCCTGGACTATTTCTCCTCAAGTATTGGAATTTTACTCTGAGATAAGAACCAGATCAGTATTCAAACACATAATGATGGTCCCCCCCCCTCCTCCACTTCGGGAATTCAGTTATTCCAGAAGTTAGAACAGCTGGTTGCCTGCAACAAGAAAATAATTTTCCACATTGAGCAGCTCAGGAGATCTATTGCACTGCATTCCAGAGTCATCATCCGTGTCACTGGTCACTCTGGGTGCCAGGCATCACCTGGCACAGGAACCAGCCACCCTGGCCAGGGTCATGCCAGGGCTTTGCTGCCCCAAGCCAGAGCAGCTGCAATGGCACAGTGAGCACTGCTGTGAACCTTGCTTTGCTTTTCACAAAGATAAAAAGAATAAATCTTGGTGCTGCAGGGCTTGCTCCTGCCTGCCAGAAAGCAGCAGCTGACAGGGCATCAGCCTGCCCAGCTCCCAGTGCCAGGATGGCAGCAGAGGGAACCCAACCCAAATGGGTACAGAGAATTAAAACTCCAACAGTTCCAGGTAAAGTAAAGCTGCTTCAATCCTGAGACCACTGATCATACACACACCCACAGGCGAGTTAGGAACGTGAAGAATAACCCACAACACAAATGATCAAATGAAGATGGTGCCAAAAATAAGCCAAACAATCAGGGGGGACCAAGAATGAAGCAAACATTAGCCTTCTATTATACATGTGCTAAACAAGGATTTTGCTGCCTGAAGTCCCTGACTGAGACTGGATGTGGCCAGAGCCAGCTTTGACACCAAAGCAGCAGAAGCCAGCCCAGCCCTCCAGAGTGAGCATCCTCCCCTTGCTCATGGACAGAAGAGATGTCTGACTGCAGAACTGGGAAGTCAGGCAACATGTAAACATTCTAGAAGGCAGAGGGTTTTTTTACACCATTATTGTACTGGTCAAATATTAGAGAGATTTCTAAGTGAATATTCACACAATCAAGGTCTAAGATATGGTAATGCAGACGCTTCTTTGTGCCAGTGCTAAAAGTATCAACAAAAACTCCTCACAGTTAACCTCAAATATGGAATTCTCAAGAGAAGGCTTACTTTAAAAAAAAATTATTGCTATGATGGCAGCATTTGCTTTTATTGTTTGGCCATGAAAGCATCAACTGGTTTTATAACTCAATGTTGTAATTGCAAGAATTTGAGACACCTTTGACTCTGGGCAGTTCCAGCATGTGGCACCTGAGAATGACATTGGGGCAGCACACAGACAGCAGTAGATTCTCAAAATGAAGGAAAAAACCCCAAACCAAACCAACAAAACCCCAAAACAACCTAAGACAGTTAAGAGCTTTCTCTACAGTTGTCTGCTTGTCTGTAGAACCAGGCACTGCAGTCCACTCAGGAAAATAGAAGCACTGCTCCCAGCACTACACATCATCTCCCACATTGTGCCTGACCCTACCCCACTACTGAGTCACAACAGGCTCCACAGGGCAGCAAACTCAGGCTTGAAGCTGTTTTGGTTGGGTTTGGGTTTTTTTGTTTTGTTTTTCATAGAGCAAGGAAAACCCAGGATCCTGAGCAGTATCTTGTTTCAAATAGAGTTTATCCAAAGGGAAGCAAATGGTGTGACATGAGATAGAGCTTTCCTTGCAGTTATAATTCATTCCTTACCTCCTGACATGATTCAATGAACTCATCTAGAGTTACAACTCCATCTTTGTTTTTATCCATTTTCTGCAAAATAAAATAATGTAAAAATTAGTTTACATTGGTAACACTGTTGTTACAGTTCAGTCTCTCAGTTGATGCAACCTGAATAAAGCTGGGTACTTAGCAAGCTTAGCCCACAGACCCAGTGCTGGATTGGCCAACTGCTAAGGACTTGTTTCCTCTGGGACTTGGAACACTTTTGAGGTCATCTCTAACTGATTTCTTGGCACACACCAGAACCTCTGTCCTTATTCCATCGTTTATTTACTCAGTGCCTGACTGGCCCCCACCCACACTCCTGTCAGTCCTCAGGGCACTTGAGGGAAGCACAGAAGGGCTCAACCCGTGCAGAGCTTCAGCCTCACTGGACAGGGCACATCCCAAAGCAAAGGAGAAAACTCTGGAGAAAGGAAATCAGCAGCATTGCAATGCTAGGCTGAGGGGCTGCTAGGGTTTATTTTGGAACACATAATGAGGTATAGACTCAACTTGACAGGAAAGTCTATCAGTACATAGCTCAAGTGTTAAGAAAAACCCATGAAAAATCCATGAAAAACCAGTACCTGGAAAAACACTTCTACATGCTGCCTTGGTGCATCTTCCTTGAGTACTGGATACGTGTATTTTCCCATCATATCATAAATTGCCTTTACAATATCCATCATTTCCTGCCATGGCAGCAAGCCAGAACAAACACAGAAAGGAAATTAAGATAAATGAGAGCCCATTTCTGTCTCGTACTGCCCTATTGTTCACCCTCCTTCTCCTATGACAAACCAGCACCTGGAATGCCTGTGCATGGACACAGATGTACCAGGCACACCAACACCCTACAGAAAGAACTGATCCCCTGCCCCTGCTGAGCCCCAGTGCTCCCTGGCCTGCCCTGGGCTGGCTCTGACACAGCAGGGGCTGCTGCCAAGGGCTCAGCCCTGCACTGTGCCACCAGCCCTGTCCCAAGGGCCCCTCACAGCTGGAATTGGGAATCTGCTCCCTCCCCACACCTTGCATTAATTTCCCCTCAGCTCCACGACCAGTGGCAGTAACTGCAGACTCTCCAGGCATGGACAATAGGTTGAGTGGACCAAGATGTATTTGACACATATTCAAGGTCACCGTGCTCAAAACTAAGGCTTCCCAAAATGGGAATAAGCAATACCAGGTAAGAAGATAAAAACAGTGACAGTGCAGGATTTGGGAGTGGTGCTGGAGGCTTGTACTGCTTCAGATGACCCCCACAGTATCTCCCTGTGCAGAAAGCAAGCCCTTGAGCCTCAGCCACCAAGAACTGCCACCATCACCCTCCCCTTCACACAGGCCATGTGGCTCAGAGCTGTAACCAGCATTTTGCTCCTGGCTAACACAATTCATTAAAGGTACCATAATATAGGGAAATATGCCTAGAAAATCATCCAGTAAGATCACTGTGCACTTTGCTTAGGCATAGACAAATGCTTGAGTCCACTCTGATTTGCATTTAACTAGCTGCATGAAAAATTAATTGTGTTCTGCAACAAAACCCAATCAACTCTGCCTTCCAAAATCAACCACATTTGTCAGGAAGAGCCTTACCTCCTTGTTTATATAGCCATCCTTATTGATGTCATACAGATTAAATGTCCATCTCAGCTTTTCGTGAACAGTTCCCCGTAGCAGAATGGACAATGCCATCACAAAATCCTGGTTTGGGGCAGAGACAGAAGTGTGAATTCTCATAGCATCCTTTTCCAAGTCACCCTCTTTATACAATGCCAAAAGATTTCTCTTTTTAGGATGGAGCATATGCTTATCAACCTCTTCTGGCTTCCTTTTCCAAAAATGTGTCCTCTCTGACTGAACTCAGTGGTTGAAGCATTCCCTGAGGTGCCTGGTTTTTAAGAGCACTGCCAGGTGCTCCCGTGGCCTTTCTCCTCCCTGCTGCAAGAGGCTGTCACTCACATCACCATGACCTGGTTAAACACAGCTGGACTCTGCCCGTGGAAGTAGGAGCTGATGCTTTATCTGAGAGATAAACTCCTCTGACACAGGGAGCCTTAGATTTTGTAACCTGGCAAAATCTGCCAGGCTTGACCAGATGTGATTGCCACCACTAATTACTATGTGGAACAGATAAGTTTAACTGGTTTTCTTTGCTTACAGTAAAGTTACTGCTTCTGATAGCTGTAATTTATTAATTACACTGCACGGTGGCTCGGGCACTGAGAGTAGCATAGCTACAGGGGATTTTAGCACAGGGAGAGCTTCAGGCTAACACAGATATACAGCTCCTGATAACTCCTTTAATATCTTTAGTCACCCCCAGGAGCTCTGCATGGGGCAGTGCAGCACTGCTTAGAAACCTCTGCTCCTTTCTGCCAAGCCTCCGAGGAATTTGAATTTGTTGAACAATATAAAAAAGGGGACAAAATTCTCATGTGTGACAACCAGTTAAGAGACAGATCTGCCAGGAATGAAAGTTCAGCACTTTCTAGGTTTGTTTCTGTTTGTTATTTTATCAGCATTTTTCTGTTCTCAGTCAGTTCAGGTTTCTGAGCACCTTTAATTGCTGAGGAGCTGTATGCAAACATGCAAAGCTCCCAGTGCAGCCCTTGCCAGAGACACACAGACACATATGGAAACACCCCCATTTTACATTTAATGAATGAACACATTTCCCAGTCTTACCTGGAAATTACCAGAGGTTTTGGCCATTTGACAGCAAAGGCAAGACTGCCTAAGATTTGTAGTTTTATAGGAGTTTTACAGTCTTCAAAACTGTGAAGTTGACCCTCCAGAAGTCTGTGACAATCTATCTATTGTGGCAGACAGCTATGTATGCTGCACTGCCATGGGCTGAGCAGGAAGAGGTTGTTTGTAGCCACTGCAAGGCCTTTTAGTTAAAGGGTGCATTTTGTTTCCAAGTACCTGAAATGCCTGTTCACCACAGCATGCAGTGCATGATGACTGCAGAAGGTACAAGATCAAGTTCTCTGTGTCCCTCACCTCGTGTCACATGGGACTCTCCTCAGCCACTCCTCTCTGCTGTATAAACCTCTGCACTTTGTCCCCCTGATCCTGATTAGCACAATCTCGATCTTTCTTTACTGACATGGAACTGCATCTGTATAAACTAAAGTGAACCAGATTTGCAAACATCGACTGCCTTTAGACTGAAACCTCCAACCTTTAATCCAACAAGTCCCACTGCTTTGCAAGGAAGACTGGACAGAAAAGATGAGAAACACAAAACTGAAAAGTGGCATGGAAGGAAGAGGCCAAGCAATCACCTCGAACTTGACGGAGCCGTTCTGGGCAGTGTCGAAGGCGTTGAACAGGTAATGTGCATACATGCTGGCATCTGAAAGGCACAAGGCAGGGACAGCAGCTCACCATGCACTGATGGCTCTAAACAAGTCATGAACTTATTTCCCTCCTGTATATAACTCAACCCTGAAGCATAGCCAGATATGAACCAGTAAATGTTATCGTGGACTCGCAAAATCCTGGCACCCTCCTTTAAAACAGCCTTGAAATGCAAAAGCTTTTATTACAGTGGAAACTATTTGGATTTTGGGGCAGTACCTGAAAGAACGAGCAGAAAACCCCCAACCATCCCAGAGTGTCTCTGGTTCAGATGGTGGGAAACACAGCAAAAGTACCAAAGAGTGACTGCAGAATCCTCTCTCTACCTTTTTGTTTTGTGGGGACACAGCAGAGACCCCCCAGGGAATGCTCAGTGTCAGAAGGGTCTTGCTCCAGTTACCTGAGTTTGACCCACGGCTGCTGGAGAGCAATCTCACCTAGAGGCATCTTTTTCTCCTTTTGAATCTTAAACTGCTGGATTTTAAAAAATCACAACAGGAAATCATCAAGTTCATAACGAAACAATGCAAAGTTTTTATAGGTGTACATCTTTGAGGTCACATGGGTTGTAACACATAAACATAATGTGTTTTATTTTGACATTTAGTTGAAAACACACTTGTCAATTGTCTTTAAGTAAATGCACATGCACACAAACACCCTTGTAGAAAAGTCAGTCATTCCCCAAAAAGTGTGTTCTGAAGCTACTATAGAGTGGGACATTTTGGAAAGCCTCAAACACTTAATCTTTTGCTAAAAAGCCACTTAAATGACCCATTTCTTTCAATTTGAGAATAGCATCCCCAGAGAACATATCCAGTTTGAATATATAGATTCTTGATGTGTATTATTGAGAGATTTAATCCAATACCTTAATATGCCCACTCATGACACGGCCCTCCCTTAGTCACATAAACACCAAAATGATCATTTCAGGTAGCCAGGAGTTTACTTAGCAACAAAAATTGCGTTAAGAATTTTAAGGATGTTTTGATTAATTTTCAGGCCAAAAAGAAGGCTGGGACCCTGCTGTGCTAAACACTACACACCCAGCAGCAGGGAAGCAAAGACAAACTGAGGGGAAGCAATTCCACTTTCTGCCCCCAGAAAGTCAGAACAGAACAGAGCATCAACCTCCAGTTCCTCTTTTGGACCTGGGGAATAAAGAGCTGACATTGAGGGGAAATCTTTATTGAGGTTTTTCTATGTGAAATAACTGTTCAAAGGGCCTAAAATTTGATTACCTTGATGTTTGTGTTTCTGTGTAAAACCCCTCAAAGCTTCAGCTCGATTCCCATTTCTCACACAGATGATGTGCAGCAGTTTTGCAGCCAGCTGGCAGTAAGCAATGCTAGGGCTTCAAGAGCCCTGGCAGGCGCAGAGCACTCCACTTACCTCCATGAGGAAAAAACTGTGCATAGATCTGCTTGAATGTTTCTTCATTAACAACACCACTAGGACATTCCTGTAGGGGAAAAAAAATTAAAAAAAATAAAGGAAGAGAATCAAGAAAAACACAAGTTTGTAAAGGTTCATTTGCAAAACTCTGCAAGCCCGAAGAGAGCAATGAAACAAATCACCTTCCTGTTCTCAGTGCTCTGCATGCACAGGCTGTGCAGCTAGAGAAATTAAAGTAATTCACACTGCAGTTTCATCTTAAGCATCTCACAGAGCTGGTTCACCATTATCAACATTTCTAACTGTGTTTTCAGCAGTTTCATTGCTGTCTTACAGAATGACCTAGAAAGGCAGCTCATGCCTTCTGTCATACGAAGCTTTCATCTAATAATTACAAATACTGTTCATGCCAGTTAACACCTCCCTGTCTCATGCCTTCACAGATATGAACCCATCAGTCCTCAGCAGCAGACTGGAGCCTGACTCCAGATCCCCAGAGGTGAACAGTCCACAGCACACCAGTGAGTCCTCACAAACAAACCTCAATAATAAGCACACCCCAGCAGCTCGGGGCTGCTTAACACATTACAGCACTTGGGCACTGCTATCTAACCAGGGGATGCTCTCAGTTACAGAAAATACTTCCCAGCTGATGGCACTGTTCCTCAAATTTGCCTATTAACCGATTTTGAAAAGGAAACCTGAGCAAAGCAATAAGTAACCACAGGAGTCAGTCTTTTTCACAGAGCACAGAATTACAGCCACAGGAAAGTCAGCATCCCCCACACTCAGAGCCACAACCACCTGAGACCCTCGGCTCTGTGTCCTGCTGCACGGACCCCACTCAGGCACTGAACTCCCCAGGCTCCCAGCAGGGAGGGAGGAGGCAGCAGGAGCTCTGTCCCTGATGGAAGGTGCTGGAGAGGGATTCTGTGAGCAGGACAACTCACAACACTCACAGACCTGCCGGGTAAGCCTGGCTCGGTGCTTACACCGAGCTGAAGGGCAGACTCGGGATCAAGAGCTGCTCTGTGTCTGGCACTGACTGACTCCATGCACCCTGTGTGCCATGCTGTGATCCCTGCCTCACTCCAGCACAGCTCCTTCAGCTGGCAACTTCACAAAACCTGACCCTTTGCAAAGGAACCGCCTTCCATTCTTGGAACCTGACTCCTGTGACCTTGCCTGACAGTCCTGAACTGCAGTTCAGACAGAGCCAAGAGCCAGGCAGCTTTTCTGTGTGCCACTGGTCATTTGTAGGTTCCTACTTAGGTGAGTATTCTCAAACTGTTCCAAAGCTCCTCATTAAACATCCATTGCCTGGGTTCCTTATCACAAACAAAGTGGTTACTTTTTCATCTGTAAAGCAGAAATCATCCAAGGAAGAGAATTAAATAGAAGCTAACAGCTACCAGAAGAGATTCTCCCAAATATTTCCTAAACTTTCATGTTTTCTGAAGCTTGTAAGCTGACATACATTAAACAAACAATCTGATATTTATTTATGGTATCTTTTAATCATTGATCAGACCCAGAACTGTATCCACAGTCATTCTTGGGCTGAAGTGTTCTCCTTGGTCACTGAAGTGCTGTTGCTACAAGATCACACAAGGCCCTTGCAGGTATTTCACCAAATTGTCATTCTTTTTAAAACCAAGCCTGGCACAACTGGCCCATCCTTTCCAGCACAGTGCTACCCTGAGATTTATTTCCTTCTCTCCTCTTGGTACACAACTGTAACTTCCCTAAGAACCACAACTTCACCTGCTGAAAGATGGTTTGCAGATGAGGGATTGATCATTCTTTTCTCTACCCTTCCCACAAGTGCAGAGTCCTAGAGGTCCCTGGCCTCTGTTTATTCCCAGACATGGGCACTGCTGCTGCTGCCTGTGCTCTCCCTCAGGGGCAAGGGCTTTCCTGGCAGTTTTAGCCATTGGATCTGCTTAATTTTCTGACTATCCACATGATCCTTATTGCTGCTGATGCTCCATCTGGAAGCCAAATGAAAGTTTGCATTGCAGCTCTAGGAGTGCTGGGGAGAGGCAGCACTGACATGGATCAGCCCATTTAGCTCTCTGTAACTGGATTGCTTTCAGACACATATGCTACTACCAATTCATTTGCAATTAATTGATCACAATTTTTGTTTTGGAAGAGCCAAATAATGCTCAGGAGGCCTCATTAGTGCTATAGTACTACTTAATTCTGCTGACTTGAATGAAATCTCTCGTGTGAAACAGAGCAGGTGAGCTTAGTGTCAGCTTAAATTCCACTGAAGTTAATAAAGGTTCACTCATTCAAGAAAAAATTCTTCTCAGTAAGAAAAACACAGTCTTGCACTGTAGTATTCATAAGGCTTTCCTTTGATAGCAGCGTTTTAGTTAACACTTCTCATTTCCTTAACCTATGAATTCTTTAAAAATGCCAAGCAGTTTTTGTGTTGTTGTCAGGCACAGAACAAACCTCTCATTTTTCCAGGGCTGACTATCAAGCTCTGGCAGCACGAGCAGTGCATCTGAACTTACCCTTTTCTTTTAAATCACTAAACCACAAAGGAGCTGAATCCACATAAAAACCAAACGTGCCAACCCACAAAAGCAAAAGGAAAATAAAACAGCAGTTGCAATTTTCCTCTGCTGGAATCAGAACTTCACGGATTGCTTCCAGAGATGTGCAAAGCAGAGATGCAGGGACCACAGGGGAGCTGAGCATGACCTGCCTGTCACAGCCTGCTCAGTTCCCCTGGCCAGAACATGAGGACAAGTACCCAGGGGCCACATTTTGCTAAATTAGAGGCAGTAAATTAGCTGACCACAGACAAACACAATCCAGATTTGCATCTCTAAGCACCCACACATCCCATGTAGTTGGTAGCTCTATGTCTTCCCACTTTGGAGATGTTTTGGGGATTATTGAAAACATTTCTCCTTTGCTTCTACCTCTCACTTTAATCTCCACAATCCTGCTTTGTTACACTTCATTACAGATTTGCTAAAATACTCAAACTAAAGCAAGGTAAGGATGTCACCAGCAGCCCCTCCATTATTTGGGCTGTCCACTTCCTGATTTAATATTAAGAAATTATCCCTTACAGCTAACAAGCATTTCCCCTAACAGCACAACCCCCTCCCCCACAAACTGACCAAAAAACCCACAAAAGCCCCAGTTCTTTTAAACCCATATGCTCAATTCCAAAGAATGCAAGCCATTAGAAACACGGCCTAAGTGGAAGATCCTGAATTACCAAGCTCAAATCTCTGCATTGCTGGTCATTTCATTAGACATCAATTTATCGATTTTAATAATAAAAATACTTCCTTGCTCTCCTCCCTGCAATTCCATAACTGCTCACCAAACTTTACTCCTCTAGGGGGCAGAAACTTTCTTCTAATTCCAGCCCGTGCCTATTCATGGCCATTCTGTTCCTGTGCCAACTCTGCTGCTTAGCCCAAACAGCTCTGGACGTTTTGCAGACAGAAGATGTTGCATTTTCTTTTGTTAAGCTGCACCAAGGCAAGACCCAGCAGAGACTCTGCTGGGTTTGCCTGTAACTTTGCTTTTGTAGAATCCCAGCCAAAGAGATGGGGCCAAACACCTCATGTTAGCCTGGCTCCAGTCTGACTGCAGCCACCTGAGAGGTGCAAAGGAGATTCTGCATTGTGTGCAGAGTCACATAATGCAGAATCCTGTGGGCAGAGGCACCTGCTGAGATAAATGGGAACTGTTGGTCCTGGAACCAGGAGAGGCTGGAGGGTGGCAGCCTCTCACAACTGGAAAAGCAGCTGAAGGCAAAGAGAGGGGACATTTGGCAAGGCAGCAATAATACAGACCTGGTTAGAGTGCTCACAGTCTCTGGAGATTTATTGGCAGCCTCCACCAGTCTGGGGCAAAACCACCAGGCCAGACCAGTGACACTCTGGGTAAAGACTGAGAGGGTTTGGAAGGAGGAGAGGAACAGAACTGAGAGACAAAGAAAGAACAGGTTTAAAGGTACTGAGAATCAGGAGCCTGGTCAGACAGGCACTGCTCCAGAGCCAGCCCAGGCTGTGCTGAGCTGCCTTGGGAGGAGCACCATCCCTGCTCCTGCACACCAGATCCTCTGCAGCCAGCACCTCCATCCCTCTGTGCCCTGCTCAAGGCCCTGCAAATGGCTCTGTCATCATCCAGGTGTTGCCTCGTGATTAAACAGGACCTGTGCAATCACTGAGAGCAAGCAGCAAGTACAAGCCAGGGAGGAAAATGACTGCATTCCCACAGGGATTTTGAATCTCCAGATGGCACTGTAACATCATCCCAAAGAACAGATGGTTTGGTACAATAGCAAATATGGGAACAGCTGAGCCAGTTTGCCTCCTGTGCATAATTACTCATCCCATTGAAACCAGGATTTGCAGGTTACCAGTGTTAAAGCCACATTTTCATGTCAATTTAAACCTTAGATATGAAACTTTGTGCATATTATGTACAGATCAGCTGGATAAAAGCTGCCTGCTTTGTTCCAGTATCCAGATAGAAACCAAGACCTGCCATCACTGCCAATTAACACCAAGACCTTCAGCGATGTCCCAGGTTTAGGTCACAAGTTAAATGCCTGCCACAATCGCCCCGGGAGGGAATGTCTCTGTAGTGCAAAGTGCTAGCAGAATTGGGAATGGCAGGGGCTAAATGTCCTCTCCACACGGGATTCCCACCCCAGAGTGATACCGAAGGCACTGTGGAGATCTTAGCAAAACTGGGTTTAACCTCCCCCTGTAGAGTCATGTCACACTGAGGTGTTACCCTGCCAAGCTCTGTCTCAAAAGCTGTGTGATTTCCTGCTGGCTGCACAAGCATGGAGAGATATCAGTGCTCAGTTGGGCAACTTCACACATGAAATGACTCCTACGTGCAGCCACAGCCACCCACAAAAATACAGAAAGCTGAGCTGTGCTATGGCCCGCTTAGGTGAGTAGTGGAAGAAAGGGTGAAACCTCCACACTCCTTGGAAAAGTCAAATATACACTGGAAATGTGATTTGATCGAATTTCAAAAATCTGTCAAAAAGAAAGGCCCTTCTCAAAGGTCCAAAACCTTCTCAAATTCGTGCAGGTTCCTCAGATCTGCCTGTATTTAAGGTAGCTCAGATTTCTTTTGACAAGTTTTTACCCAAGAGACTTGGTGGAGAAATGTCAGCATTTTGCTGTGATGGTCTCTGAATGCTGGAGCTGTCCTGCAAGAGAATATAAAAACCATTCTGTGTTTATTGAGCCAGCTTGATTCTGACCTGTAAATCATCATTAAAACATCAGCTGGCACAAACACCTGGGTGACTAAATCCTGACCCTCAGGCAAACGTGTAATGAGTACTCATTCTTCAAGGTCCACAAAGCATCTGCTCCGTGCAGCCTCAGCATTGCCCATCCCTCTCTCGAGGCTCTGAGGAGCCCTGGGAGCAGCAGCAGAGCCAGGCTGGGCTCAGGGCTGGCCTGAACGTGGCTGCCAAGGCTGGGCACGGAGCTGCCCTGCACACCCAGCCATGCCAGCTGCTTTCCTGTCACTCATCCCTGCTGCCCTGCAGAAACCTGCAGCCTCCCTCTGCCCTCCTCAGCCTCAACACACATCCAACTCTCGATTTCGCTTTTCCTGCCACTCCAGCCTTATTCCCTACTTGTGCAGGACCTTAAAGTCCTAAAGTGCTCTATGAAGACCCTGCTACGAGAGCAAGATTTCTGCAGCTAGAGAAGGGATGAAATCTCCATCCTGGGCAGCTCATCACGGGTGAACAGTACCACTTCTGTTTGAACACGAGGAGATGACAAAAAGGCTTAAATAAGTAGCCACAAAAACATTTTCACGTTACCTTCAAATAGTGGCACGGCTGAGGAAACCGAAGTGTGCTTGCTGACATTTGGGGAACAAGTTTAATGAGACCATTTTGTGCTGAATATTCATCCAAACCCAGTTTTAGGCAGATTGCAGTGTCATAAATATTAGATGGAGAGGCAGATTGTGCTCATTTTGCTGCGGTAAGGGAGATCTAATACAAAACTACTAATGCTTAGCAGGGGAATAATACAAAATCGAGCTGAGCAGTTGAGGCTGGTGGGGACATACATATTAGACTGCTCATTGCAGTACTGTTCTTACATTTTTAAATCCTCTGTAAAGAACTTGAAGTTCTCTTTTAGTGAAATTGGTTTGTGCTTCAAGCTGTTCCAGTCCCTCGGGTCTATGGCACACTGTCGTCATTTCTAATTCATCTTCAATTTTATCTGAAAGAGAAGACAGGAAGATATTTATTTTGGTTGTTACCTTTGCTCTTTTAACATGATGGATAGGACAGACTGGATTTCAAGAGCAAGAGATGAAAAAGAAACCACCAACAGAACTGCTCAGTGTAACTGTTCTGAACCTCCTGAAAGCAAAGTAAAAGCCACAGGAGTAAAGCAAGAGCTCACATTTCTTCCTGGGCTGCCAATTAGCTGCCCATTCCCAAAGCCAAAAGGTGTGGAGAGCAGCAGGGCAGCAGCAGACACTCCAAAAGGCAAGCACAGACATTTCATTCCTGAATACTGAACCAGCGGGGAGGAGGGGCACTTCCAAAGCAGTGGCTTTAGAGAAAGCTGCAGCTGCAGCTGGGACAGCAAACATGCTCAGACATCAGATCAGCTCATTCTGAGGGTGACACTGAGGGGAACTCCTTCAGTCCTAACCAAAAACCTTGCTCTAGAGACACTGAAGGTCACTTTAGACCTAGGAGAAATTCAAATTTTGTCCACAATTGCAGAATCTGGAATGATTTCAGCCTGAATTTCCAAGGACTTTTTGGGGGAAGAAATAAAAAATGAAAAACACTTCTATGAATTTTATTCAAGAGAGAGTTCTTCTACAAGGAAAAAAATACTATCACATCCTGAATTACCATAACCTCACTTCATTTTTGATGCATGTTCTCCCCTGTCAAGCCCATCCTCCAGCAGTGTAGGCAATACCCAAATATACAGACACTTAATGTCTATCAGTCTCAGATTCTCTAAACTTCAAGGACCAGATCTAACCTTCAGCTGCCACGAAAATCCAACCCACATCCAAAAGTTGCTTGGCATAAAAGCAAACACTGCCCTTATTGTCAAGACTGCACAATTCATGCCTTGTAAAACATTTTAGGTTATTTGGCTCAAGCATAATACAGTAATTTCTGCTGTAAGTCAACAATTTAAATAGAAATTCCCAAGGAAATAGAGTCTCTCTGAAGAGAGGAAAGGCATAAATTCAGAGCAGACTGGGTCAGTGAAAGAACAGAGCAGCCCAAAGGTGTATTTCCATAAGCTAATTAATTCTGCAGAGATACAGACACAGATCTATACATGCACACATGCACACGAAATGGAATGTTATTGAGGGAGGGTAAGTGCTACTGGTTAATTAACATTGGTTCATTGTGTCAGTATTAAGAAATTGGTTCAAAATGCAGGTGAATTCAGCCATCCTCTTAATCCACCACATCTGCATCACCACAGGCAGCATCTGCAGGCCTGGAACAGATAAAATGTATTCCTGAACCCTTCTGAAGGGCCCTTGCTCAGCAGGGACACAAAGGTGAGAGGCTGAGGAGCAGCTGCTGATGGCAGAAAAAGGGGCTGAAGGACACACCATCCTCACACAAAGGGAAAATGAAGGGTCTAGAAATTACAGCTCCTGTCAGAAGAAAGGAGATGAAAAAGGATGTCTGCTACAAGAAAGAGAGGTGTGAAATAAGAGGGAAAGGCTCTTTTCTTTGCAAGAGAATTAATGCCACAAAACGAAGGAATGCAAAATCTGTAAAGAGAGAAAAGTGTGGGGAAAGAATTCTTTAAAATGAGAGATGAGAAATGAATTCTTGAAAAAAGGAGAGAAAATCCACCTCAATAGTCCTCACCCTCCACAAAGATTTGGGTTTTTTGTTATTTGTTTCCTTTCTGTGCTTGCTCTCAATTCAGCTCTTTTCAACTTGTTTCTTCCATTCCCTGATACCCTATAAATCAACCACAGAAGCCTCAGTGGCAAACCAGGAGATTGGCACTTCCTCCTCTGCCCTGGCTTTTTAGCATGGGCATTGTATTTCCTTTTATTTACATTCTCATTATCGTGCTGGCTCAGTCCCTGCAGCTCTTCAGAGGTGTCACTGGATGAAATATGAGCTCTTGCATTTACAACCACTACACTTTTATTAAACTGAAGCTCAGTGTAGGGTGGAGAGGGCAAGCACAAGTGTATATATATATATATATATAGATATATATATATACATAAACACATGCAAATTTAAACTTTTGATAGGAATGATGTTATTTTATCTAACACCACATTCTTCCTCAGCTTTGCCTTGTTTACAGTTTGCTCCTGAAAGATTTAAGTGCAGGAAACAACCTTGCTGCTGATTTAAAGTAAATTTTCTTCTTCAATTCACAGATGCACGAAGAGAGCAGGGACTGAGTGTGGTGCCAGCACAGCCTGGTGCTTAGAGCATCCTCATCCCCCTGAGCTGGCAGCACAGCCTGCCCTGCTGGGCACACACCCAGGGGCTGGCCACCAGGAGCTGCTCAGAGACAGCTTGAACCTTAGCTAAATTGCTTTCTTTGCTTTGCACTTTTTGTTTTGTTTTGGGGGTTTTTTCTTTTTTTTTTTTTTTTTTTTTTTTTTTGGGTTTTTTTTTTTTTTTTTTTTTTTTTGGTTGGGTTATCTGTGCTCACTAATCAGGTGGAAGTAGTTACTAATGCAAAAGGTTTCTTCTGCTTACAGGTACTGATAAATGATAATATATTTATTCTTTTCCTGTTTTTATTTCTAGTGCTTGTTGAAATGACCCTGGGATGAATCCCTTCCACACCAGATGGCTGCAGTGAGTTGTGTCTTAGGCTGAAGATTGTTTAGCCAGTACAGAGCATTCTCTGAGCTGTTTTCCTTACAATGTATTTAAAAATGGAAGAATGGGATGTAGCATTTCCTGAGTTTGGATTTATTTCTGCCCACATTTTTGTGGCTGCTTTAATAGCAGGGTAGGAGATCTGGGTCTGGTAGACTCACCTGTGGTAATCTTAATGCAGTGTAGGCCCAGGTTAAAATAATCACTTAGGTTTGTAACTTTGTGCAAAATCGTATCTATATTTGCTTAGCCCATAGGACATGCACATTTCCTTTTATAATGAGAACCGTGCATGTACATGCATATTTTACACTGCTGCTAATGAAAGAGACTCCATTTCACTGCTCCTTGCTCAAGAGCAGAGAGTGAATTTTCCTTAAGGCAAATAGATATTTTAACAGAATACACTTTAGGTTACTTAATGAGCCTTGTTTTATTCATCCTTTCATATTTGTTCCAATTTTTACCGTTTGTTAACTTTACTATTTGGGAAGTTCCAAACTCAGAGTTGCCTGCAAATGGCTCTGAAGGTTTGGATTGGAAGGGACCTTAAAGATTCCCAGTTCCAGCCCCCTGCCACAGGCAGGGACAGGGCGGCAGGGACACCTCCCAGCACTGCAAAGCACCACAAAATAATCGTGTGTGATTTTCCAGGGCTCTGGGATTCCCAGGCAGGATTCCCAGGCTGCCTGAACAATCCTGTGCTATTCCCAGGGCTCTGGGATTCCCAGGCAGGATTCCCAGGCAGGATTCCCAGGCAGGATTCCCAGGCTGCCCACCCTTGCTGGCACTGGCAGTGTCCCTGCACACACAGACCGTGCCCAGGGCTGGCTTTGCTGGGGGAACAAGCAGCTCCAACACCTTCCCCAGCTCCATCCTGCAGCATCTCCAGCGCCTGCCAGAGCAGCAATGCTGAAAGCTCACACAGTGCCAGGGCTGGCCAAGGACGAGGCAGAGGCTAAAACCGTCCAAAGGGTGTAAATGATGATTTTAATAAAGATGCAAACGACCCTGTCCCCTGCATCTGAAGGCTGCAAGGTGAAAATGCAGAACACCCGTCTCCATGGTTGGTGGGAGGACTTTGAAAACAAGTTGGTTATAATAAATTCACTTTTTGTTAAGGAAAAAAGTCAAGGCATAAAGTGCAGCTAATGGGCCCAGTGTTAATTGTAAAACTGACAGGCGTTAGATGAAATGGGTAATTTTACAAATACAGCTGAAGGGGATTAAATTACATGCAAGAATTATTAGACTGCATCTTGCTTTTATTAAAAAAAAAAAAAAAAAGCTATATTTTAGGAGCAAGGACCTCAAGAAAAAATTAACTCTAGTTTACCCACAGTATACTTGAAATTAATGTCCAGACAGAGCGTCTGGGGCAGGACTCACAGGTCTTGCCTGTGGGAGACCAACTTATCAATAGCAAATATTTGGAGATTTCATGAGGAGGAATAACTGAGCCTGAGTGCAAAGTGCTCATTATGGCAGCAGCTGGCAGAGCTTTGGGATGTCCCTGGGGCTGCTGGGCTGGGCTGGGCTGCAGCACATCCCTGAGCTGTGCCCTGTGCTCCCCCCGGGCACTGCCCTGGCACAGGGACACAGGGACACAGGGACAGGGACACAGGGACACAGGGACACACACAGGGACACACACAGGGACACA